ATCTATGCATCTATTTGGGTTTTGGCACCAATCAAGGAAGGAGAAGGGCCACTTTTCAGACTTTCCACTTAACCAAAAATAAGAATGACATTGAATCATCTGGAGCATGCTTTCTTTTGTAGCTCTACCTTCTCCATAAATAGCGTCATTCCTTGCTAGCCAGATTAACCAAACAGTTGCGTACTAGCCTACTTGCCAACCTTTTTTGTTCTTTGCTGCCCATAAATGTTGAATGAAGGCTTCCCTACATTTGTTGTGTAAAACATAACAGATGCCCCACCATTCAAAGCATTTGGACCATATTTTATAGGAGAAATCACACTTCATCATTAAGTGATCTGCATCTTCAATCTTATCATCACAGAACACGCACTTTGCCTCCATAGCTTTCTTGATTACTTTCCTTCTCAGCAGGTTTTCTTAATTTGGGATTTGGTTCTGCAGTAGTAGCCAAGTGAAGGAGCAGACTTTGTTTGGCATCATCTTGTTCCAACATTTCTTGAGAATTTTTACACAGTCGTTTGTCTCACATGATAAGAGTAACTTATAGGCTGATCTTGCAGAGTAGTGTGCATTTTTTTCATGAATCCAACTCCAGCTATCCTCCTTTGCTATCTGTGGTTGTTTATAGCTTAGTATCTGATGTAGGTGTTCCACTTGGTTTTCCTCCCATGAGTGTAGTTCCCTTCTCCAGCGTAAATTCCAACTCCATAGGTTTCCATTCCAGTGGCCCATAGGTTGCATAGAGCTCCATTTATTTGTACACAAAGAAAAAAGTTTTGGGAACAAGTCTCTCAAGCTGTTATCTCCAATCCACCTATCAAGCCAAAAAGATATATTTGCACTGTCCCCTAATTTGATTTTAAGCCCCTCATTAAGCCAACCCACTTGTCCATTTAGCATCCAATTTATGCTACTGATGTCTCTCTATCATCGTGATCCACCCTCACTTCCCTTTCTCATTCAACTTCCCCGATTTCTCTCCCCCCTATTGTATTTGGCTCTCATTACTTTGGCCGATAACCCTTCACTCATATTTGCAAGTCTACCCCACCATTTTCCTAATAATGCTATATTGAATAGCCTAAGGTTCTTTATTCCTAGCCCTCCAAATTCTTTGCTCTTGCATACATTGTCCCACCTAACCCATGTTATCTTTTTTACCAACTCATAACCACCCCCCCAAAGGAATGCCTGTCTAATTGAGTCAATCTTTTTTATCACACCTACAGGGATCAAGTAAGCAGACATTAAGAACACAGGAAGACTACTTAGCACAGAGTTGATGCAGAACAATTCCACCACCCATAGATAAATATATGTCTACTATTTTTTAGTTTTATTTTAATTTAGTTTAGTTTATTAACTTTGTAATAAATTTCACTACGTTTGATCAAATTGATTTTCAATTATATCTTTCGTGAATCTTTACTTTTTGAAATTAATTTTAAAATAAAACTAATTTTATGAGGATAATAAGTTCACTTTTACGGTCTAAGAGACTAACTTTTATTACATGTTGTTTTAATTTTTCTTTACAGTAGAATCCATAATTATTAATATATTTTAATAGTTTGCATAGTCTATTGTAAATTACTTTGCTATTCGAGATTATTTTATTTTAATTTTGATTTAACC